TTGCTGTGAAAGTTTGAGCTGGTGGGACCAGGAAATGTAGTTCATTCAAGTACTTTCTATGGAAGTAGTAATTCTACCTGTGAGAGAGAAGTTGGCAGGTTGAGCAATGTCAATCATAATCTTCTGTCTTCCTGAACCCTGTTCCTTTATTGTCCTCTCCTCACTTCTCTTTACTTAAAGTCTTTTCATTTTCATTGTAAACCCCTGCGACTTAGTGGCATTATTGCCTTACTTGGGATGAAATGGTTAAAAAAATTTAAATTGTTGTACTTTTGTTATGTCTTTATAGATTCTCAACAAAATACAGAGAAAAAGCTACAATTTGACCAGTCCTGAGCTGGCATTTCAGCTTCAGTCACTTTCAAACTGATGTAACCATGCTTCCTCTTGTCTGTTCAATATTTTCATGGAAATAGTTCTGATGAGCTTTCTTCTTTCATTCATTGACTTTACGGATTTTGTGCTTCTGTCCCGTAATTTCATACACATTTAGTATATGAAATTTATTATAATACAACATCACTATAATAGCAGATGAATGATAGATAGATAGATAGATAGATAGATAGATAGATAGATGTGTGTGTGTGTGTGTATCAGCCTGTATGTATGTTATTATGTGTATAAAGGGAATGTAGAAATTTCAATATATATAGTTTATTAAATCATATAGGTAGTATAAATATGTATATATACACATGAATGGGCACATGGTTAGAATGTCAGCATGCCCACCAGGAGATCTGGGTTCAAATCTTACCATGATTAATTAGTCAAAGAGGTGATGTATTGATAATATTGGTGTGAGGAGATGATCCCCATATACGGCACTGTTGGGACATGCCTGAAAATAATAGTGTGAGTTGACCCAAATTTTTTAAATGAAACTAGGCAAATGAAACTGTTCAAAAGCTGTTGATAGTTGTGCTAGCATTAAGTCACAAGTCATTATGATCATGTGACTGAACAGGTGTCTGCAACAGGGATTAGCTAGCCACCTTAGTCTGCCTACTGCATGTACATGAATATCACATCCATGAAGATGTCTTTGTTTACAGCTTTCTGTATTTATACAATCTCTCTCTCTTGTTCTTCATCTCTCTCTCTCTTGCCTCATTTTTTCACCAGTCTCTCTTTTCCTGCTTTTCTTTCTCACCCTCTCTCTTTTGCTTCTATTTTTCTTTGCCTCTCCTTTTGCCTTTCTCCCCCTTATCCCTCTGTTTATCCTTTCTGACTTTTCCTCTCTTTTTCTTTCATCCTGTTTTTTTCTTGCCCTATCTTTCTATCCTTTTACTCTTTCCCTCGCTTTCTTTTTCCATTTGTTTTTATTTGCCTTCTCTTTTTCTTATTTGTCAACCTGCCTATGCAGATTGTATGCAAGAAAAGGAGTTAAAAAAATAATGAATTTTGAAAAGCAAATATAAATTCTGTAAGTTTTTTTAAAAAGACAATGGAGTAAAAAAAATGAGGAGGAAGAGGAATAATTGTGCCATTTTTAAAGAGAAAATGGTTTTAATTTTTGCAAACTATCCGAAGATAGAATGAGTGACTAAGAGAACAAAACTAAGAAAGTATCATTAAACAAGGGAGAAAGAGAAGAAGATAAGAAAGGAGAAAAAGAAAAATAATTATGTAAAAAAAATATCAAGAAAATATAAACAATAAATAAATAATAAGTGCAAGAATAAGTTTTAAAAAATTTAAAAAAAACATAAAATAAGAAAAATATGCTTAAAATAATAGCAAAATGAAAAATGAGGAGATAGAGTGAAAAATAAGAATGAAAAGTAGGGAAAGAAACTAAGAGAAAAAGAGTTGAGAAAAAAATAAGGTAATGATTGTAGCTGGGAAGAAAAAAAAAAGAGTTTTAAGAAAAATGAACAGAGAAATTGAAAGAAAGAAAGCAGATTATTCAGAAAAAGAATTAGAGAGATCAGAAGAAATTTACAAAAAAAAATGAGAGACTAAAAGCAATAAAAGAGAATAGAGAATAAATAAGAATTTGATAGAGGGCAGTTCAGTGTAACTGGTGGATGTATGTGAAACAAATTAGAGATGGGGGAGTGTGCAACAGAAAGTGAGCTGTGTGAATCATCTTGCTCATCTACCTGTGGTAGGTGGCAACACTTTGGTGAAGCAGTTAAAATAGGAAACAGTAGAGGGAATCGAGGAATGAGACATGCTGGAAAGAGAGAAGCAAAAGTAATTATGTTTTTATTTTAAAAAATGAAGAAGAAAAGTATAGGAAGTAGAGAAATAAAAGTAGAGAATAAAAAATAAAGAGCAAGAAAGAAAGAAAAAAGAGAAAGGTGTGTTAAAAGAAAGAAAGAAAAAGAATGGAAAAAAAAAGAAACAACCTTGAAAAAGAGAGAGTAATAATAAAAAAAAAAGAAAATAATTATAATGAATGAATAAATACAGACAAATTTATGGAAATGAACAATAAGTAAAAAATAACTCTAAAACAAAAGAATATAGAAAATTCACTTCAAAAATGTTTCCTGAAATATTTTTCTAAAAGAAAAAAAACAAACCCCAAAATAGGGATACAAATATAAAAAGAAAAGAAAAGAAGTTCAAAAGAGTTAAAATACAAGACCAGTGTAATTTCTGTGCAACCCTCATGCTGACTCAAAACCCATCAGACAGATTTCTCTTTCAGCCTTACTCTTCTCCCTACTTACTCTCCTTATTCTCAAGTTTCTTGTACAATGTGTCAGTCCTTTCCTGCCTTTCTTTCTCTCAGTCACTACCTGCTTCTTCCTGCCACTCCCTCTATTTTTCAACTCCCCCTACCCTATTGCTCTTCTATCATTTGCTCTCCCTTCCCTTGCTCTATCACTGATGGATCAATACAAAATTCGTTCTTGTTTTGCTGCGACGTTCTCCTACTCATTTGTCCTCTCCGAGTGAGACTCCATAAGACGCAGAACGACAAACCAAGCTTAAAGAAAGGCACACGTTTGTAGACCAGTAAAAAGAATAAAGAAGAAGATTTCTAAACTATCGTTGCAGTTTTTAACCGACAAACCTTACTTCATTGCCATGAAGAAATCATTTTTGCATTGTGTTGATGAAGAAAAAGTCAACATTGAATGCTGCAGAATCTCAACACAAACAGTTACACACTAGTCATGGTTCTAACCATTTTTCCACTGCCTGGTTGTTGTGCTTCTGTTGTCTGTTAAATGTTGCCTCTCTCTCCTGTCAGGAATGAACAACCTGATGCCTTGTTTTAGTAAAATAACCCAGCAAAGAAAGATTTTACATTAAAAAATAATTACAAAAAATATTTCCTTTCAGTTTTTTCAGTTTCATTAAACTCTGAAAAATAAAATTCAAAATATTTCTTTTAAAGTATTTCTTCAAACTCTTGTTTCAGTTTAAAAAAATAGAATCCCTCCAAATTTTTATTTTGAACCTTAAATATTTTGTTTGTTACTTCCCTGCAGCCAAATGAATTTCACGTGAACCCAAAACCAAGAAACATATTTGTTTTTAAATCTTTCTGGGACTTTACACACTAGTCGATGTTTACCATTTACTACAAAAATTGGAATGAAAATTGAGAAGCAAAAAAAAAAAGGTATGTATTTTAATTTCATTTCTCCATCTTAAGAAACTAACAACAAATTAAGATATTGCAACTTAGAAAAATCTCTTTCAAAAAATACATTTTTGCAAAAATGTTGGATGCAAATTTAGGAAAACGGTTAGTTTTCAGAACTATTATTTTACTAGAAAATAGAATTTTATCTTTTTTTTCTGAAATTTAAATATATATATATATATATATATATATATATATATTACTCATAAAAGTGCGCATTTGAAAAAATAGTATTTGAACTTTTCCCAGAAAAAATTCTTTAAACTAAAATTTTAACTTTTAAGAAAAAAATGTTGAAGAACACCTTTTCCCTTTAAATTCTTATACAGATATTTGTGTGTGTGTGTGCATGTGTGAGAGTGAGAAGGAAAGAACGTGCTTTTGGGTATGTGTTGCATTTGAAGATTTCTCAGACAATGTTCTTCCAGGTGCTTTTTCTTCTACATCCATACAGACTACATGTGCGCATTTAATGTGTAAACGAGTTTGACTATTTTCTTTTCTAAGTTCATATTATACTTGGCTGTTAAATGCAGTGGACATTGATTAATCATTAAATCCTAAATTTTTTTCTTGTTTATACTTACAAAATCAATAATTATGCCTGCATCTACATAAATTAGAAACATGTTGCTATTTCTACATAAGTTTTTATTTATCTATAGTTTGAGCGATATTATTTTCTTTTTCAATTTTCATTGTATTTTTTTTTTACAGTAAACATTGTCAAAACTGAAATCTTTATATTTGAAAAAGATTTAAAAAAATAGAAATTTTTTGAATTGATTTTCAAATTAAAAACATATCAAGAAAAACGATTATAATTAAAAAAAAAATGCTTAAATCCTCTGAGTTAACTTTTTAAATAATCTTTCTTTTTAATTCTTTGTCCAATGTTTTTTTGAGCAGATATCCATAACTATGATATTCTGTGCATTCAACAAGTGTAAAACTGATTGACAAGTTGGATTCTTTTTTTATTTCGTTTGTTTGAAATAGCAATGTTTTTTGGGTTTTTTTTCAAATAGGTTTGTGTTTATAACGTTCCTTTAATTTTATTGTTTTTACTTCAAAGCTTCTGGTTTATGATTAATAAATAAATATGGTACACTTGATTGATTGATTCGTTTTCTACGGCTTACCAACCTTTTACAGGTTGTTTAAAGCCAGAAAATATTGTTAGATTGTAAGAATTTTTTAAGATAATCATGGTTTTATGAGATAGATTTTACTAATTAACCTATAGCTGGGGGAACAAGAGGTGGACTTATACTTTTCCCAAGGGTATTTGAGCATAAGTGAATATAATGAACCCAACAGAAATTAGAACTTGGCTCTCCTTTTTCCAATTCTTAGCCATTATCCATTACACCACCTGCACATTCAAGTTTTCAGCACCTTGTATTCTCAAGCAGTCACTCACCTAGGTACTGACCAGGCTCCCCATAGCTTACTTTCAGTGATCATATGGGAACTAGTGTTTCAACAGGATATGACCATAAGCCTATGGTGAACTTGCCAAGGCCTTAGCATATATAAGGGGATGCTGAAAAGTTTTCCAGATAACCAAAAAGCACTTCCTCAAAAATATTTGGTTATTTGTTAAGATTTTGGGAAGTTGGGTAGACCAAGAACATTTCAGAATTCCCATTTTTGTGAAGGAGTTCCTTATGGATATTATTTTGTAACTTGAAAAAAATTGTCTAAACAGACAAAACCAGATGGATTTCTTAAATTTATTATGTTCCATATTGTAAGGTGTCTGGATATTTTTCTTATATGTGGGACCAGCATCATTATTATTACTACCACTTCACACCCCCACTATTTAAATTCATGTTAGCTAGTAGATTTTATTAAACAAGTGACAAGTTCCTTCAACATTTTATCTTTTTTCTTTTTATCTGTTGTGTGCAGTTGTATAGTTTTATATATTCCGATGTCCTTTAGAAAAATTTCAAAACATTTATCAAAAAATTTATTTATTTATTGGGAGCTACCAGTGCTTGTCACTGAAGATCAGGTGACAGCAAATCTTATTCCTTCCTGCTGTCCCCAGCACTACCAGAACCTGAAAGGTTCCAATTCTTCCTCAGAGTTGTCTTTGAGATAGTTTCCCAATGCACTAATTATCATGAGCACAGCCCTTATTTTCAGGGTCATTTCTTAGGCAAGGTCTTGGTATTTTTCCATTTTTCACCTTGTAGTCCAATGTTGGAAAGATAATATGAATAGTTTATTTCAACAATTTTCTCATGCTTGTAAAGTCTCAATTTTCAAAGTTGCAATTTTTTCACTCTCACGATGAAGATGGTGATAACTATCACTATTTATATATTTTTCTTTACTTCCTCTTTTTTTTTTAATTGCTGAACAAGATTTTATATCTTAGTTATTTCATTTCTATTTGGTTCTACTACTGATGTACAATTTAACATAGCTTCTTTTCTTAGTTGACAAAGATAAAACTTGGATTTCTAATCAGAATAAGAGAATTTTTCTTATCATTTACAAGGGGATGCTGAAGTGTTCTTAGCCCAACCTACACCCCAAATGGCCAGGCATCAGAATTAAATAGTATAGAATCAGATTCAGTGGAAAGAAGGCTAGCAATAACTGGGCAGTACTTAAACAGAACAAGGCAGGCTGTAACTAGACATGGACAGGAGAATGAGAACAATCTACCCTTACAGACTAAAAGGGTTTACTTTAAGTTTCTTTAAAGGTTATCCAGATTGACAGACACCTGAAGAAGGCTGGAGAACACAACAGCCAAAGCATTCTGATAACAACAACAAAGATAGTCCAACTGTAAATAATGTAAATAATGATAACATCTTATTCAAGAAATTCAGACAGAAATCTGAATTTATTTTGAAATCTCTTCTCGTCTAGGCTGAGAACTTTTCAGCACCCTTTGAATTAATATTTTTTCATCTGTAAATATTAAGATTCAGTCATTTGACTTGTTATTTTCTATCAAAATGTTTTTACATCAAATTTTTACATTATTATTATTATTAAAATAATAATAATAATAATAATAATAATAGCAGTAGTAGTATTAATGGAACTGAGCAAGTGATATCATTTTTCTGGTTCAGATATTTTTTATATAGTTAGAATCTCAATGAAATGCTCCTTAGCCAAAGAACATATCAGCTGAAAAGTTTTGTTAAAAACAACAAAGATAAAAATGCTAGTCCAAAATAATAAGAAGAATAATGAAAATATATCATATAAGAACTCCAGAAAACAATTTGTAAAATTATTTGAATTTATTGGATGAAGCATCATCTGTTATTATTAATTTTTTCTTTTCTTTTTTTTTCATTAATATCTCTTTCATCTTAGATTATGATGCTTTTTATTGTAACTTTCAGGCCATCATTTAGATTGAAAACAAACAGTACTTCTACAACTTATATCACTTCAGAAAGACTACCTGTCTTGGTGAACTGCTTTATTGATTAGGCTATGAAGGCCACTGGTTGAAGATGATCAAATCTAACCATATAGGATCCATTCTTGTTTTTGTCTCAAACATTTTGCTTGTTTTAATATTTGTTGACATACACAAATAATACCAGTACTAACATCATTTAAAATTTTTAAAAAGTGAGAAAAATGAACATGTTAAAACAAAAAGAAAAGTTACCTAAAAAGAGATAACAAAATAATAACATAGTGTGCTAATATTGAAATATAAAATTATTAACAAAAAAGATGAATCAGTTTATCAGTCCTCTCTCATCATAACTAAATCAAGGACAAGAAATGTGCACAGCAATTAAAATGAACACCAAAGATCAAGTGTTACATAATAAATATATAGCAATTACAGGCTAAATAAAGTTAAGCCTAATAATCATTCCTCCTGTTAACAGAAAGGTGGCTGATAGGACTTAATGTAAATAGATCCCAACATCTTCAAATAAAATTCAGAATTAGCTTTTCTCTATACTGAGAAAATGTCTTGTTTATAAGATAGGGCACATAGCTGGGTTTTAGCTATCACTGAACCAGCTATATTTATGCAACTATGCAAACTGAATTTATTAAATGAAGCTTTGTCAATTATTACTAATGTATTATAAATATTTTTTTCGTAATCAGTTGTCTTCATGACATAACTGGTAAGGCAGCTGCATTTGACAGGCAGTTTTCCTGAGTTGAAATGTTGTCTGAAGTTTATTTTTTATTTTTGACCAGCTTTATTTACTCACGTCCACAGAATTATAGAGTCTGTGGGTCAAGATAAAACATCACAGAAATAAGATGAAAGAATACTTGTTAAAAATTAATAATAATTGAAGAAATTGTTTACTGCAGGTCTATGGCCAACTATACATTAAGAGTTCATGAAAGTTTTTTCATATTTTTTTAGAAAAAAAAACCTCTTTTTTCACTTTATAGTTTTTGAAAAAGAGGCAAATTTTACTTACCTAATAAGTCTTTCCCACACTATATTTATAGCAGATAGTATACACAAATACACACATTTTATATATATATTCTTTTGAAGGCTATTTATTCTTTCACTGTTCCCATTGATTTAAGCAGTCACTGTTGACTTAAAGTATTGATTATGCTGAGCAATTTAAGCCTTGGGCAAATTATTCATGCTTCCCCACAACGGCAGTTTGTATATTATCAGTCTTATAAAATCTTCATAACATAAGAAATAAACAAAAATAGAGTTTTTTTTAAGAAATATTTTTTGTTAGACTTGTTTTTAGTTAAATATTGAAACAAACAATAAACACAAAATAATCTTCATATTATCTTTTTATCCTAGGTTAATTTCTTCAGTCAGGTTTTATTTAAAATCAAAAAATATTTTAAATAATCATTTTACTCCAATGATATTTTATTTATTTTCAAGATATTTGAATCTCAAACATTTTCTGTCTAATCAGTATTTTCATAAAGACCAGTGGTTTGTAAAATATAGACATGCTTCCAATCCTGCAATAATTTGCAAGTTTGTTTTTTTTTAATTATTCTTTGATCAATTTCTACAGTCAGTTTGATTTTAAATCCAAAAATATTAGAGAATATGATATATAAATTTCTAAATGCTGGGTAATTGAATGACAAAATGGGAAAAAATTCTGCATAGCATGTTTCTAAACATCCTCTAAAATTTAATGTCCTCCCATCTTCAGCATTTCCCCTCTGTGCATAATTATAACCAACATTACTGCTTATATTCCCCACTTCTAAATACAGATATATATTGTTATCAATAAAAACTTTAATTTGATGAAGTCTTAAAGAATGAAACATCACATACCATTTTTTTCCATTTTTGTCATTCAGTTATCCAAATATATTTTAAATAATCCTTTTTATCAAATAATATACATTATTTCTTTTCAAGATATATGAATCTGAAACATTTTCTGTCTTAATGGAATTTTCATAGAGTTTGCAGGTTTTTTTAAGATAAAGATATGTTCTCATTCTTGCAATATATTTGCTTCAAAGTGAAAACACCCATTTACAGTGAATGAAAATGCTCTTTACTTTTTATTTCCTATGATTTCATATTTTTATATTTCATGAAACACATCTGATTTGTGTAAATTTCTAGTTTATATGATGGGGTGCTGAAAAGTTCTTGATCAAACCGATTTCCCAAAATATGACCAAACATCAGAATTTGTTTTGGAATCTCTTCTTTTACACACTTCCTTATAAACAGAAATTATAAGCATTGATTGATTTCTTTTCTATGGCTTGTCAATTCATTGCAGGTTATTTAATGACAGAAAATATTTTTAGATTGTAAGAATTTAATTTTTTTTCTTTTTTGAGATAATAATGGTTTATTATTACAAATCTTACTAATTAATTTATAGCTGGGGGAGAAGAGGTGGATTCATAGCTTTCCAAATGGTATTTGCATATAAGTGAATATAACAAACCCAACCAGAATTGGTACTCAGTTCTATGATTAAACATTCCAAGCCATTATCCATTACATCACACACACATTTACAGCAGCTGGTATTCTTAAATGGTCACCCATCTATGTACTGATCATGCTCAATATTGCTTAAATTTGGTGATTGTACAAGAACTGGTGTTTCAATATGATGTGGACATAAGTCTGAATTATTATCAAATCTAAATTAAAATTATTGAATTATACATATGCTTACATTATTACTAGAAATGTTATATTTAATAAATATTAAGTTTGAGTAGACATACCATTTTTTAAAGAAGTGAAATTAATTTCAATCATTCTAGAATTCATTGTTTAATTTGATTGTTTAAAAATACATTCAAAGGAATATCTACACATTTCAATATGATGTGGACATAAGTCTGAATTATTATCAAATCTAAATTAAAATTATTGAATTATACATATGTTTACATTATTACTAGAAATGTTATATTTAATAAATATTAAGTTTGAGTAGACATACCATTTTTTAAAGAAGTGAAATTAATTTCAATCATTCTAGAATTCATTGTTTAATTTGATTG